GGGGGGCGCAGTATCAGAAAAGGTAATCTCTTTGGACCTGATTTGCCCTTTTTCAAATCCCTGCAGATGATAAAGGATTGTTTCTAGTAATTTCGGTGTTGGCAGGAGAAATGCATAGCCCCCCCCCCCAGCTGAGATAAGGCAAACAAACAAAAGAGGTCAGCCAGGCCCCCTTCCCAGCATAGACATCCCAAGTTTGCTCTGGCAGGAGACCCATAACCAGCTGGACCACCCCAGTCCACAGAACAAGATGTGTCCTGTCCCCGGGAAGCCATGTTCTCCCTCGAGCTATGACTGTGGGGGGGGGGGCAGGCACCAAAGGGCTGGGGATCCAGTTGAAAACTGGAGGGAGGCTCAAGCTTCTGGGGCCTGGGAAGGAACCTGCTGACTTCTGCTTCCCCTTGGTGGTTCAGCTCAGCTCAGCTGTCTTCTACCTGCCAACCTGTCTGCGAGGAAGAACAGCTTTGCACCCCAGTCCGCGGAGTCTGCTCCTTCCTAGACGGTCTCAGGTCCTTCTGGGCCCTGAAAACACTGCCCTTAACCACAGAATCTCTTGGTCTAGGAAGAATAAAATGAGGACTGTCCTTCAGGGAGGCTAGGACTTAAGAGAGAGGCTATGAGAGCTCTAGACTGGCCTTAGGAAGGCTTGGGGTTTCCAATCGCACATGGCATTCAGGAGGTGACCTACAGGTATTACTTCAGCTCCCTGAATTGGCTTGTCTTGTTTCTCTGGGCAACGAAGGGAGTCTGAGTCTAGACCCTTTGGGGCTATGCTAGGTCAAGGCATCTGGCTGCCCAGACTGTGGGGATGAGGCCCTGGGATGAGATGCTTTCTGTTTTGGTTGGTGTGGCATGGTGCTAGCATGGTGGTGGCGTGGAGGTGATGGACATGGTAGTGGCACAGAGGTTGATGATGGAGCATGTCTTAGGAGCCCCTGGAAGGAGGGAAATGACTCACAGTGAAAACTGAAGTGGCTGCTCTCAGTTCCTCTGGGCAGTGTGAATAACCTGAGTGGGCAGTGGGTCACCAGAGGTAGATACCCTGTGTGGCTCTCTCTCCAACCTGTGGTTGACCCATTCACTTCCCCAAGCCAGAGCACTGTGTGATCCCTGGATCCTGACTCGCATGAGCAGGAATGTCCCAAGCCTGGTCACAGGACACGTGATCTATGAGCCAGGTTCTGCTCTTGGGCTGCTTTGGGTCGGGTTAGGGGGTGACAGGGATGTACCCCACTATATTAATAACTGCAGTGCAAAGGATGCAACCAAAGCTGACTCCGTTGAGTCTCCCACAGCCTCCTTAAAACATACTTAGAGGGAAAACCTCTCCTAGCGATGGGAAGAAACTCCACAAGCTATCGGTCATGACCTTCACCCTTGGACAATGGTCGCACGGTCCCCACAAAACCCAGTCCTGTTCCAGAAACAAGTTAGAAGTGAAACTCCAGCCTTGCTTCAGCATTGTGCTTTGCTGTCCTCCCAGGCCTAGGTGAGGGCAGGTGCAGGCTCCCGAGGAAGGGCCGATGGTGGCGTTCTCAGCTCTTTCTTTTCTAGGTCCTTCTAAGTGGGGCACAGGGAGGTGTGGCAGTTCATTCTTGAATACGTGCTGTCAACAGCTGGCTTGGAATTTCTAAGTCTGACAGACCTTAAAGCTTATTCTTCCTCTGGTGGTCTTTTTGATGATTTTTGGGGGACACCCTCCTCCCTGTCTTGGGGCTCACTTGTTTGAAATCTCCCAATGCCTCTATTCAGGGGGTCACTCACAATTACTTCTTCAGCTCCCTGTTACTCCCAGTTTCTTCTTCCTGAAGCATTGGGCCCTTCGCCCATCATCCCTCACCCTTGAGTTCACTTTGGGTCCAGCAAGTCCTCACACTGCTGTCCCAGCAAGTTCTGAGGATGCAGGCTCATCCCATACAGCCACAACTATGCACTCAGAGGCAGCCCACCTGACACCTGCTGGATTTCTGAGGCTGAATTCCCCTGGGGAGGAAAAAACCCAGAGCTCACTACACAGCTTTGCCCAAAATCAGGTTTTTTTTTCTTTTTTACAAAATCCACCCCCACCCCCATGCTCTAATGACCTCTAACGTGGGAACCTTTCTTATATCATTTTCTTGGTAGATCCCATATTTGGTCTGGTGTGTCAGCAGCAATAATCATGTCTTGTTGGAAACTTCAGTTGCAATATCTTATTTACGTATGCAAAGACTATTAAAATAAAAAAATGGCCTATGTACTCTGTGAGGAGAATAGGGATTTCGAAGGCCAGCTCACTCATTCATTCATGTACTTATTCTGCAAACTCCAACCAAGTTCAAGGCTAACTGCCCTGGGGTCCTTGAGCTCACCGGGATTTCCCGGATGTGTTTCTACATCTGGGAACTGGTTCCTGACCACACCCCCCACATATTAATAACACCACATTTCAGGAAAGCCTCTTCTGAAGGGGTGAGGTGTGGGCTGGTCTTTGGAGACAGTTCAGGCTGAGGAGGTTTGAGTACTTCACTTTGGAGGTGGGAGGGAACTTGGTGTCTCTCTGGGTTATTTGGACGGGAGGGGTAGGCTGTGTGCATGGTTGGATGTCAGGGCTTCTGAGGAGCAGATCTGCTGCTTGCTGTGCGTGCCGGGCCTTGACTGTGCAGATGAGATCCCAGGCTTTCACTGGCCAAGCTTTCCAGGATGGTAGCCAGGAATCTTGGAGAGAGATTCTGTCTTTTGATGGAGCCATGACCCTTGAGAACATGGAGAGGGAAAGAGGCATTGCTGGGGTCCAGAAAGTGTACCACCTCTCCTCCAGCAATTCCATCTCCTGTCCTCAAGGCCGCCCCCTGTTAGCTCAGAGAACAAAGGGCAATGTCTTCTAATTTTTAGGAAGGACATGGTCTCTGTCTGAGTCCTTGGCCTGGGCCGGGGAAGTTGGTCTGAGATCTCAGAGCAGAGAGATGACCCTTTCTCTCTGCAGGAAACTTCAATTGCCTCTCCAGTTATCCTCCGTGTGGACCCCAAGGGCTATTACTTATACTGGACATATCAGAGCAAGGTAAGATGCTACCCAACACGGCCCTTGGCTCCAACTGAACCAATGAACTGTGCTAGACCCCTGGTGGTATAGGATGGAGTCATGGATGCAGAGTAGAGACTGGCCTGGGAGAGAAGCTCCTGGGACTCTCATGGGCCGGGGAGGGAAGCTACAGTCACCTCCCTCCATGACTGCTTGGGCCTGCTCAGTCCTGAGTGTGTATCCCTTGGAGACAGTGGGAAAAGACAAGTCGGCTGAGCTGAAAGGGCAATGATGTACCGGTGGCTCCAGGTCACATCAGAGCTCAGCACTCAGAGGACAGGCTCAGCAGCCAGACAGAACAACAGAAGAAGGCCTGGGGGCTTCCAGGATGGAAGACAGGGTGCAGGTTGCAGCTCTTATTCCAGAGAAGGAATGGGCCAAGGAGCGAAGAGGATGCCCATTAATAGAAACTGAGGAGTAGAACGTGACGGGAGGGGTCCAGGTAGTCTTGGCACCCAGAGAAGGCAGTAGCTGGGATTGGAAGGGGTGTGGACGCTCTCCCGACTCTGATCATTGTGTCCCCACCCGTCTTTGCTCCCACTGGGAACTGGTACCAGGAGATGGAGTTTCTGGACATCACGAGCATCCGAGACACTCGCTTTGGCAAGTTTGCCAAGACGCCCAAGGTAGGTGGGCCCCGAAGCAGCCACCAGTTACAAAGAGCAAAGAACAAGTCACTGCTGGGGTGGGGATCCCATCTGTGGGACCCGATGACTGGGTCCTGGACTGCTAGACAGCAAGGATTCTAGCTCAGGCCACGGAAGAGTGGTGTGGCAGCGGCTGCCCAGCTCGCCTGGGTTCTGAGCATGGGAACTGGTCACAGTGAGCCAAGAGGGCAGGAATGGAGGAGGAGCCAATCCCTGCCCCTAAGCATGCCAGACTGTCTGGGAAGTGTTTCCTCCACCCCTTTCTCCCCATTGCTTGGTGACTGCTTTGCCTACATTTACCTAAAGCTGGCAAAAAGATTAAAGTGATTGACAGTAGGAAGCAGGATCCCCAGAGTTCAGGGCCTAAGAATCTTCCTTCAAACGAAATTCCCAGGATTCCCAGGTCCCATTGCCTTAGCTAAGCTATGGGCCTCCCCTTCCAATGGCAGTTTCTGGAACCAGAGGCAAGGGGATACTGAGGCCTGTGGTTCCTAGGTTCCGTGGCCATTCTGCCCCCAGTGACCTGCAGTTCAAGTGGCTGACAAGGAGATATAGGAAGTCATGTTGGGCAAGACTGAGGGTCAGCATACCTCACGGTACCACTGCTTCTTACAGAGCCAGAAACTCCGGGAGGTCTTCAACATGGACTTTCCAGACAACCACTTCCTGCTGAAAGCACTCACCGTGGTGTCCGGCCCTGACATGGTGGACCTCACCTTCCACAACTTCGTCTCTTACAAGGAGAATGTGGGCAAGGTGCATTGGCAACACCCGGGTAGAGTGTTGGCTCTTGGGGCAGCCTGACCTTCCTGCGAGAGTCATAGGCCTGGGCCGAGAGGCTCAGGGGCGCTTGTGGTCAGGAGCATGACTTCTAGGCTCTGTGTTCTGCAGGACTGGGCCGAGGATATACTGGCTCTCACCAAACACCCCATGACAGCCAATGCTCCCCGAAGCACTTTCCTAGACAAGATGTAAGTACCCCCCACCCCGCCTGAGCTCAAGGGGTTTGCTTGCCAGCCCACAGCCTGATGGGCTGCTTGCTGTCCACCCCTCAGCCTGGTGAAGCTGAAGATGCAGCTCAACCCTGAAGGGAAGATTCCTGTGAAGAAGTGAGTCTCCTGAGTTTCCTCTTAGCTGCCTCCCAGCTCCCCAAGCCTTCCCTCCCTAGGCATGACTCCTCTGCTGCCTGGTCCTTTTCTTTGCTCCCTCAGTTTTTTCCAGATGTTTCCGGCTGATCGCAAACGAGTAGAAGCTGCCCTCAGTGCTTGTCACCTTGCAAAAGGCAAGGTGAGTCGCGTTCTCCTCGCCCAGTCAACTCTACTAAGTCTCACTCCCACCAGAAAAACAAAAACAAAAACATGGCCGGGGATAGCGACGGATGGGGTGAGCGGAAATGACATCACTAGCCCATCAATAGCTCCCAAAGCCAATTAACCCAGAACCTCTGGTTACACTAGGCATAAAGGGTGGGACCAGGGCAAGGGGGTGCAGTGCTGGAGTTGGAGCCGCAAGGCCTGGCCCCCAATAGTGCTGGGGCAGTGTTGGGGAGGAAAACCAGCAGATGAGACAAGCCTTCCTATCCTAGCCTTGGGGACGGGCGGCGTGGGACGTTTTCATTGTCCGGGAGCAAGACAGGGTCGGCAGGGACAGGAGACAGGCCATGGGCTCTGACAGTCCCAGGAAGGCACCAGTTCTCCTGGGTGTTAGGGAGAAGAGCAGGGCCACGGGTGGAAGCTGCCAGGGCACAGACTCCAGCTCGATTGGGAAGCACATTTTCCACTTCTTTTTAATTAAGCAATTAATTTTTAATTACAAGTCAGAAGGAGGGTCACCCCATGAGACGTCTTATGTGATTTACCAAAAAAAGATCTCTCTGGGTAGATACGGCCCACAGCCAAGGTTCAAGCCTGGCTGGGGAGTGGTGTTAGTCCTAAAGCCCTTGTCCAGCTCGGCCAGCGTCCTTGTGTAGTTACAACCCTCACCCCGCGAAACGCTTCTCCTGGTAAGAATCCAGAACAGTAGAAATGAGTAAAACAGACCGCGAGCATCTATCCTTCTGAGCCACGTGAGGAATGCTCCCTTAGGGGCCCAGCTTCTACAGCGCTGGTGACCCCATGTGGCTGCAAGGCCGAGGCAAAGGAGAAGGTGGGCTGGGCTCCTGAGGTGGTCCTTACGGTTTGTCCGATTGTCTGCTTCCGGTAACACCCAGCCACCTTCTTTCCTGAGCTCCTATCCCTAGCTGCATCCTCCTTATTGGTCTGTTTCCCTTGTATCCCGAGAGAGGCCACTGACCAGCTTCAGAGACAGAGCTGGCCTGGGGAGACCCTCACCTCCAGTTAAAACCCAGGTTGATTTTCCAGTGCGATCCTGAGTGGTATTTAAAGTTTGTTTTGTTTTCCGGAGGAACACAGTGAAAAGCACAGGATCCTGCATACTATCCATCTACTTTCCTCTTCTAGTTCTATACATTCACCTACTCTGGACATTTTATGTAAAGGGACTTATACAGTCTGTGGTCTTGACGTTGGGCTTTATTCACTCAACATAGGGTTTTCAAGATTCACCCACGTGGTAGCATCAGCACTTCATTTTTTTTTTTAATATTGCAGTATCATAGTCTATGTTGACAGATTCTTGGCTTCTCTCCATTTTGACTGTTATGAATAATGCCTCTATAAGCTATTTGTCATGATTCTGCTTTCAGCCTTCTTGGGTATATACATTCAGGTGAAATTGGTGACTATATTTACCATTTTTGAGGGACGGACAAACTCTTATCTAGAGTGGCTGCATCATTTGACTCTCCCACTAGCATAGCAGAAGGGTTTCAATGTTCCTGCACCCCACCAGCACCACTACTGCCCGCCTTTTGCTGATGCTATCCTAGTGGGAATGAAATGATATCTCATTGTGATTTTAATTTGTCTTGACTTAATAACCAATAATGTGTGAGCATCTTTTCATGTACTTATTGATCGTTTCTACATCTCCTTTGCAGACACATCAATTCAAATTCATTGTCTATCTCTCATTTGAATTTTTTGTATGTGTGTGTGTTTATGGTGTGTGTGTGTGTGTGTGTGTGTGTGTGTGTGTGTGTTTGTACATGTGTGGAGACTGAGGTCAATGTCAGATGACCCTCTAAATCACTCTCCATCTTACTTTTTAAAGGTTTGTTTATCTTTTAAATTATGTGTCTGTATCTGTGTGAGGATATATGCCTGGGAGTGTAGGTGCCCACAGGGGCCAGAGGCATCAGATCCCCCTAGAGCTGGATTTCAGGCATCTGGGAGCTGTCTGGTGTGGGTGCCTGGAATCGAACTCAGGTCCTCTGTAAGATCAATATTGACCCTTATCCACTGAGCTGTCTCTCCAACTTCCATCATATTTTTTGAAGAGCATTCATTGACCCTGGAGCTCATGTTTGGCTGGCTGGCAATGAGCTTCAGGGATCTGTCCACTCCTGACCCTGGGGCCACAAACACACACAGCACTGAGACCAGCATTTATGTGGGTGCTGGGATCTGAACTCGGGTCCTCATGCTCGCTCAGCAGGGGCTTGAACAGCCAAGCCATGCCCTATCCTTTGGGTTATCTTTTGGTTGTTGAATTACCACTTAACAGACAATTGATTTGTAAATATTATCTCATTCTGTGGATCATCTATCCTTCTCTCTCTCTTCCTCCCTCCCCCTCTCTCTCTCCCTTCCTTTATTCCTTAGCTCAGGTTACCTTTCAGTTTCTTGATGGAATCCTTATAAGCATACATACTTTAGATTTTGATGAAGTCTGATTTTTATCTCTTTGTGTATGTGTGTCTCTTTTGTTTTTTCCAAATTATTTGTGTTTTGTTTGTGTGTTCGTTTGTTTGTTTGGTGTGTGTGTGTGTTATATACTGGGTCTTGTGCATATTAGACAAATACTCTGTTACTGTTGAACTGCTTTTTTTTCTCTCTCCAAACCTCCGAGCCAGGTTTTACCTCTCATATTTCAGGGCTCTGCTGTCAGGTGCATAGTTGTCCACATTCAAACAGTTTCTTTGGATAATTTGTTCTTCACTTAGAAAAAACAAAAGAAACAAGAGTCCAGTACTCTCATTTTCCAGGCCGGAAAGCAGTGCCCCTTACTTCTGACATTTTTCCCCTCTTTAAGCTCATGCTGTCCCAATCCTGTTCCAGCTACAGAACTAGCTACTATCCAAAATCCTCGTCAAAGCAAGCCCGCTAGCGGGTGCTGCAGTGAGATGACGAGGCCCTCGAGATGCGTGTGCCCACGAGCCTGTCTGCCTTAAGGACTCTCTCTGATCAGGCCACCTTTCCCAGAGCTGGGGCCAGGTTGTGCTGAGTCTTAGCTCGGAGCAGGCGAGAGAAAGGGTAACAAGGTGATGATTCTTCCAGAACGATGCCATCAATCCCGAGGACTTCCCAGAGTCTGTGTACAAGAGCTTCCTCATGAATCTCTGTCCTCGGCCAGAAATTGACGAGATCTTCACTTCTTAGTGAGTTCCTCGGGCTGGGCATGGAGTGGTTGGTGGTAAGGAAGGCAGTTCCTTCCTTCCACCCAGCCTTTTGGGAATCACGAGGTTGTACAGGAGAAGAGGGCAGTCCAAACCTTCAGGTTCAAAGACTGCATCTGTGCGCCCCCTCCCCTGGCCTGCAGCCATGCTAAAGCTAAGCCCTACATGACCAAGGAGCACCTGACCAAATTCATCAACCAGAAGCAGCGAGACTCTCGGCTCAACTCCCTGCTGTTCCCGCCAGCCCGGCCCGAGCAGGTGCAGACGCTCATCGACAAGTACGAACCCAGCGGCATCAATGTGCAGAGGGGTGAGAACCGCAGAGCCCCCACGTCCAGTCCGTCCCGTAGTCTCGTCCCTCCCTGGGAGCCGAGGTGCAGCCATGACCTGCCTGCGATCTGCTGTCTCTCGCAGGCCAGCTGTCACCAGAGGGCATGGTCTGGTTTCTCTGCGGACCAGAGAACAGTGCGCTAGCCCACAATACCCTGCTGCTCCACCACGACATGACCCAGCCGCTGAATCACTACTTCATCAACTCCTCACACAACACCTACCTGACAGGTGGGTCCCGGAAACCCCGTGGCCGTCCGCTCCTGGGCCCCGGATTCTCTGTAGGTGCTTCTCAAGGACTGTGTGCCCTGCTCACAGGACAGGCTATGAGGTTGTGAGGGGACTAGCCTGGCTGTGAGTGACACCTCCCCCCTTCTCCCCACCGGCCCAGCCGGCCAGTTTTCAGGCCTTTCCTCGGCTGAGATGTACCGCCAGGTGCTCCTGTCTGGCTGCCGTTGTGTGGAGTTGGACTGTTGGAAGGGGAAGCCCCCCGACGAGGAGCCCATTATCACCCATGGCTTCACCATGACCACCGATATCTTGTTCAAGGTGGGTCTTGGGGTCTGGAGCCTGATTACCGTGCTCACCAGAAAGGGGCTGAGGAGAGGCTTTCTGAAGTTAGGGGAGTGAAGCTGCAGGGGAGAAATTTCTGGAATGCCTCAAGCTGCTTCCAGGCTGCTGTGGCTCTCTAGTTTCATGCCTATGCTGAAGCTAAGTAGTGGGGAGAGGCACCGTGGGGAGGGCCACCGCAGGGAGGGGCGCCTTGGGGAGGGGCTACCCTCTTTACAGAGTTCCTTCCTCCTCTAGGAAGCAATCGAAGCCATTGCAGAAAGTGCCTTCAAGACCTCCCCCTATCCTGTCATCTTGTCGTTTGAAAACCACGTGGACTCGTGTGTATCCAGGACTACCCAGCCTCATTCTCTACCTGCACCCCAGCCTCTGGCCTGAACCCCACTCACACACATGCACTGGCCCTGACCTCTAGTCCTTCATTGAGGTCTCTGGTCTCAATACAGCCTCCCTGGGACCTCAGCTTCTCCTTCCTGTGTTCCTACCTCCCCCACTTCCCCCGACCTCTGATCTGGGCCATCAGGGCACAAAAAATGGGCAGGAGAATTGGTGCTAAGCAATTAACCCCTTCCTTTTCTTTTGTTCGCTGCTACCAGACCCCGCCAACAGGCTAAGATGGCCGAGTACTGCAGGACTATGTTTGGAGAAACCCTGCTCACAGATCCCCTGGAAAAATTCCCTGTGAGTGCAGTCTTGTGGGGCATCTGGACCTGGGGAAAGGTGGAACCAGGTTAGAAGGGCAGAGATACTTGAGTTCCTTTGGTTGGATTGTGAGTCTGGGCTCCTGTCACCTACCACGTGTCAGAGAGTATGCTAGAATTAGGGGTCTCCTAGGGATGGAATTTATCTGTAATCCCAGCACTTGAGAGGCTGAGGCAGGAAGACCTCAAGTTTCATGCCAACCAGAGCTGCATAGTGAGACCCTATCTAAAACAAACAAACAAACAAACAAACAAACAAACCAAACAAACCTAAATTCCACAGTTGCTGTCCCAGGTTTCTGACCCTCTTCATGAGGAGATGGACAAGCATCCAGGCCAATTACAGCCAGCGGTTGCTATGGGAAACAATGCTCGGGAGTTAGAGGCTCAGGGAAGGCTTCCTGGAGGGATGCGGTGGTTAAGGTGAAATCTGGAAGATGACAAAGACTCAGTGAGCACGGGAAAAGCACCTTCTAGTCAGAAGGAACAGGTGAAAGAGACATTACTGCCCAGGATCAGGTAATTTCGGTCAAGTGGGAATTCAAGACACAAGGGGCAATGGCGGGAAGCGAGGCAACAGACGTAGGCCCACACCAGAGGGGCACAGCTTGGGGTAGGGAGCACACACCGCAGAAGCAGTGGTGCCCACCTTTCCCCTTTCTGCAGCTGAAACCTGGCATCCCTCTGCCCAGCCCGGAGGACCTCCGGGGCAAGATCCTCATTAAGAATAAGAAGAACCAGTTTTCCGGACCAGCATCCCCCAGCTCCCCTGGTGGGCAGAAACCTGGTGGGGAGGCCGAGGGCAGCTGCCCGTCTAGTGTCCCCACTGAGGAGGACACAGGTGAGCGACTAACAAGAATGGGATGGGGTTGGGGGAGGGCCAGTGCTGACCAAACTCTGCGTGGCAGTGTGGACCTCGGAGGACCGGACTGAGGTGGAGGAGGAGGAGGAGGTGGAGGAAGAGGAGGAAGAGGAGGAGTCAGGAAACCTGGATGAAGAAGAGATAAAGAAGATGCAGTCGGATGAGGTGTGTGGGGACAGTCCCTCTGCCATCTCCATTGTGGTACCGTCTGGGTGGGCGTGGACTACAGTCTGGGCTCTGTCCTGTTCCTTTCTTCACTCTCCCATTCAATCTCTAGGGTACAGCAGGCTTGGAGGTGACCGCTTATGAGGAAATGTCCAGCCTTGTCAATTACATCCAGCCCACCAAGTTCATCTCCTTCGAGTTCTCTGCACGTATGTATGTTTGTAGAGGGAGGTGGGGGAAGAGAAGGCAGGCTGGGCTCAGGAGAAAGCTGCCCTCATTCAAGAGTGGCCTGGTGAGCGGGATGAGAGGGAGGGAGACCTGTCCCCTCCTCGCACTAAGGTCCTTGTCTATAAATACTCAGTCGAGGAGTCAGACTTGTTTAAGTGGCAGTGGCTCCCAGCATTGGACTGGAGAACTTGGCAGCAAATGGAATGTTCTGGAGTGTGTCAGTGACAGGCAGGTCGTTATGACAGGCCACCTCATCCAGGCCTGTCTGGGGCTTCTGGAGTTTCCTAAAGTTTTTGCAGCTCCCTGGCCTGAATTATATTAAGTGCTGGCCCCAGTCTAGGAGCCCCGGTCCTGGAGGTAAGAGTTCCTGGGAGATCATGCCTTTAACCCTAGCACTGGTGAGGAAGAGAGTGGGTGTCTGAAATGGGAACTACAGAGTGAGTTTCAGAACAGCCAGGACTCTACATAGAGAGAAACCTTGTCCAAAGAGAAGGGCGGGGGGGTCCCAGGAAGGGGTGGAAGCTTACTTACCCCCATTGGATCCTTCCTGCTATTTGCCCTGATCTTTTCAGGGTGCACTCAAGTGCATTCCCCACTCTCTGTGTGTCTCCCCAACATGAGCAGTGCAGTCCCTTTCTGAACACTCTTGCGCAGTTGATCTCTGCAACACTGACCGACAATACCTGACCTCACAACCTGTTCTGCTACCTGGGCACGCCCAGAATGTGCTTTGGAGGGCATGGGGTACTGCCCTTAGCATACTGCCGTCCCTCTGTGCACTAGCTAATTTCTTACACATTTCATTCCCTGTAAATGTCACTGCCTGGGATCCTGGAGGCTTCACCAGCCAGAGTCCCCTCATCGGGGGCTTTGCAGGAAGGCCTGGAGTCCTTCTGATGAAAATGGCCTTGGCCAGCACTTCTACTCAATAACAAACAGCGTATGACTTTGTGTGTCCCACGGGCATGCGCATGGACTCTTTCACTATACACCCCAGCTATTCCTTCACTGGATGTGTGTACCACATGTTCCTGGTACCCCGGACTCATATGTCCCCCACACCTCCGTGTCCATCCATGGCACATAGGCCTCACTCTTTAGGACCGTGGTGCAGACTCTCTCCCTCTGCATGTCCACTTTGAAGTCCCTTTGCCCCAGCATACATATTCCTCTCAAGTCTGACTACTAAAACCCGAGACCGCAACAGAATCCTGGATTGGAGGCATTGCTCTCTGGAGGAAGGTGCCACAAAAGGAGGGCAGGGCTGAGACAGAGGGCAGCCTGATGTGGAGTACCGAATCTCCCTTTCTCCCTTGCTCAGAGAAGAACAGAAGTTACGTCATCTCCTCCTTCACGGAGCTCAAGGCCTACGAGCTGCTCTCGAAGGCCTCCATGCAGTTTGTGGAGTATCCTTGAGGCTTCACTAGCCAAGGCCCCCCGGTGGGATGGGGCTTGGGAGGCGGGCCCCGGGGTCCTGCTGGTGCAAGCGGCCTTGGCCAGATCCTATACTCAGCAACAGCTACAATAAACGGCAGATGAGCCGAGTGTACCCCAAGGGCACACGCATGGACTCTTCCAACTACATGCCCCAGATGTTCTGGAATGCTGGCTGCCAGATGGTTGCCCTCAATTTCCAAACAATGGGTAAGAACCCTCCCCTGGGCCCTGCCTAGACCGTCTTTACCCCTCCCTGGGGGATCTTTGGTGCACAGTAGCTATTTGTGTAGGCTCTGGGAGCATGTCTTGGTGTGTGAACACTTTGGGGAGGGGAGCATTTCCTCATGCCCGTTCAGCTGTTCATAGATCAGAACACACATAAGACACCAAGGCTGGCCTGGGTTCTGGCTGCTCTGTTTGGTTGTGTTTTTGGGAACACCTGTACCAGCCATCCCAGATCCACCGTGAGTTTGCGGCCCAGCCATACCACTGTTCCTTGCTGACTCGAGGCTGAGGACCTTTCCTGAGAGGCTAGACACCCCAAGGGCCTGGGATGGGGCATGAGAAATTCTCGCCCTCATGATCTACCCAAATCTCCCCATCCCCAAGGCAAGAGAGGCTTGAAAGTATTGAAAAGAGACTGAGGATGGATTTAGGCGACGTCACCCTCACTGCATCCTCTCACACCCCCAGACCTGCCAATGCAGCAGAACATGGCACTGTTCGAGTTCAACGGGCAGAGTGGATACCTCCTGAAGCATGAGTTCATGCGCAGGCTGGACAAGCAGTTCAACCCCTTCTCGGTGGACCGCATTGACGTGGTGGTAGCCACCACCCTCTCCATCACGGCAAGGCCCAGGGCTGACAAGTGGCTGGGAGGGCTGGGCTCCTGAGAAGGAAGGCCGAGAAGCCCACCCCTCCGCCCCAACCCCCCTTCCCTGATATCCTGAAGACTTCAGCCCCAGCCAGTTCGTGCAGTAGCAAGTTGCCTTGGAAACTGCCTCCTCCTCAGCACAGGAGTCTGCCTCTTAGTCCCCATGGAAACCAAGGGGAAGGGCTGAGGCTCCGGTGGGGGAGGGGAGAGGGACTAGTCCATGCTGGGCAGCGGGAGCCCAGGCTCCAGTGGTCGCTCCCTTCTTGTCGGAGGAGAAATGTGGGTGACCTGCCTCTCCCCTGAGTGCCGGAAGCACCCAGGTCCTTAGAGCTTGGCTGTAAATCTTGAGCCACACAGCCTCTATTTGATGGCTAGTGTTGGAAGGGATTTTCTTGATACCCATGATAGATACTTAGCCCTGTGGAGACAAAGGCCCTAGGGGCTTAGGAACCAGCCTAAGTGGGATATCTAATGCTGCCCCCCCTTGGGTCCTCACCCTTAGGTGATCTCTGGGCAGTTCCTGTCAGAGCGCAGTGTTCGCACCTATGTGGAAGTGGAACTCTTCGGCCTCCCAGGGGACCCCAAGAGGCGCTATCGCACCAAGCTGTCACCTACGACCAACTCCATCAATCCTGTCTGGAAAGAGGAGCCCTTTGTCTTTGAGAAGGTGCTAGGGATGGGGCTGGCATTGGGGTCTGTCCCTGCTTCTTGACCTCTGCTTACAGATAAGGGGGAACAATGGAGAGGGGTTCCTAGACCTACCACTTCCTCCCTCTGCCCCTCATCTATTACTTTATGACTTCCAGAGGTCCCAAACTGAAGTTCATTAGGTGTGTGTGTGTGTGTGTGTGTGTGTGTGTGTGTGTGTGTGTGTGTGTATAGAGTGTGTACACATTAGGATTAGGGATGGAAACATGAACTCCCTGCTCAGGGTCAGGGGATGGTGGAATTCTTTTGTCTCCTTGGACACTGGTTGGAAAGCTGCCAAGGGCCGTTTGCATCATGGGACTCACTGCCCTGGGCGCACATCTAGCCCTTTTCCCCATGTGAGCCTGGCACAAACTGTAAGATGCCTGTATGTGCCATAGGGCATGCCTTCTGCCTAGCCTCACCAAATCTGGTAAGTCTGCCGGGCTCTTACTCTGGCATGGAGACGTCTGGAGACAGGGGAGGGGCAGCGTGGCTCCCCCCGTGTCCACTCGTCAGCCTTCCCTGTGCTGACCTCCCTCCAGATCTTGATGCCTGAGCTGGCCTCCCTCAGGATCGCTGTGATGGAAGAAGGCAACAAATTTCTCGGGCACCGAATCATCCCCATCAACGCCTTACATTCTGGTAAGGAGCGGGCTTCTTAACTACCCGCAGAGAGCCCGAGACCAGCGTCCTGCCTGGAGGTGGGGGAGCTTCTGACAGGGACTTTGAGGCCTCACCAGCTTATCTAAGGAATGGGACAGGAATAGACTTTTCTCCGGGAGCCTGACCTGTGGGAACTCTGCCCACCGAACAGAATGCCCGTGATTTTCTGGACTCGCTGTTACAGACTCCCGAGCAGCTGGCATCCATGGGTACTCGGGATGTGTGAGAGGAGCTGGAGAGCTGGGGAGCTGGCTCAGCGGGCAGAGACACTTGCCGCTAAGCCCGATGATCTGAGTTTGACCCTGGGCCCCACATGGTGGAAGGAGAGAACATGTCCCCACAAGCTGTCCTCGACCCCTGCATGCACACGTACACGCCTGCTCACACCAAGCAAATACATAAAAATGTAATAAGAATGTGGGAGGAGCTTAAAACACAGTCTCGTAACAAACACACGAGGCAGATAGATGAGGAGAGGCTTGGAGAGTTAACCTAACCTGCCCCAAAGTCACCTAGTAAGGAAGCAGAGCATAGGACTGAAGACCCTGGCCGGTGACTCTAAAGGCAGACATCTGAAGTGCTGTGTGTGTGCCGACCTGGGCAGGAATGGGCTCCGGCTTACCGCGTCCATCTGCCTCATCGTGTTCAACAGGGTACCACCACTTGTGCCTGCGCAGTGAGAGCAACATGCCGCTTACCATGCCCGCCCTCTTTGTCTTCCTGGAGATGAAGGACTATGTACCCGACACATGGGCAGGTAGGAGACCTGAGGCGTGCCAGGGGCCCCAGACTGCCCGTTCCCTTTCCTTCACTGAGCCAGTCCCTGAAGTGGAACCAGACAAGGGTGGTAGGTGGACCCTTCCAGGCCCAACTTCACACATACCGGGCTGGTCACGTCTTGTGCTTCCCAGATCTTACGGTGGCACTCGCCAACCCCATCAAGTACTTCAATGCCCATGACAAGAAGTCTATGAAGCTCAAGGAGGTGACAGGAAGTTTGCCTGAGGTCGGTGTCACCTGGACTACTGCCAAAAACCTCCAAGGGCTGTGGAATGAGTGGGGAGGGGCAGAGTTCCCTGCTCGTGGGGGGAAAGGGGTGTTAGAGCCACCTTTCTAACGGGCTGTCCTCACGCAGAAACCCTTCTCATCCGGGATTCCTATTCCCAGCCAGTCCAATGGAGCGTCAGTCCCAGCAGGCAACGGGTCAACAGGTAGGTCGTCCTGGGTCCGCCTGCCTAGTGTATAGCTCTCCACCTCTCCCACCACACCCACAGTCCCCCAGAGACTAACATTTTCATCTGGGGAGGGAAGATCTGGGTCTGAAGCCTCAGCATGAGAAAGGGTGAGTTGCAGAGGCCTCCAACTGCCACCCTTGCAGAGAACCAAACTGAGGCGCCTCCAAGGCACCTGGCAGTCCAGTCCTGTGCTCTTACAGCACCTGGGGCCGAGGCCAAGGAGGACGCTAGGAAAGAAGTGGCAGATAAGGTCTGCTGAGCCCTGTGGTCTGGGGACAGGATCTGGGGAGAGGGCCTGGAACTATGGGGAGCCAGCAGGGCGGGACAGACGCTCTGGGTCTGGGCGGCTTGACGCCTTAGCCATGCCTCTTCAGAGCCCCAGACCACCAGCTTGGAGGAGCTGCAGGAGCTGAAGGGCGTGGTGAAGCTGCAGCGGAGACACGAGAAGGAGCTTCGCGAGTTGGAGCGGCGTGGAGCCAGGCGCTGGGAAGAGCTGATGCAGCGTGGCACCGCACAGCTGGCAGAACTCGGAGCTCCAGCGGCGGGCTGCAAGCTCCGCCCGGGCAAGGGCTCCCGCAAGAAGAGGTAAAGGAGTCGGCGGTGTCCTGCACCCCCAACCCTCCCCCCACCCCCAGGGTTGGCGCCGGGCTCAGGGCCTGTTCCCACGTGGCTTTCCTCCGCAGGACCCTGCCCTGTGAGGAGACGGTCGGGGTGGCGCCTAGCGAGCTGCCCGAGGGTGCAGACCCGCGCGTGCAGGAGCTGAAGAGCAGGCTGGAGCAGGAGCTGAAGCAGCAAGGCGAGGAGCAGTACCTCTCTGTCCTCAAGCGCAAGGAGCAGCACGTGACCGAGGTCTGGGACAGGGCCGGCCACCAATCCCACCCCTCCTGCGCCGCCAAAGGCTGCTGGCTAAGCCTGCCCTTCCTCCTTCGCAGCACATCGCCAAGATGATGGAGCTGGCCAGAGAGAGGCAGGCTGCTGAACTCAAGACCTTCAAGGAGACCTCAGAAACGTGAGAGGGCCTCCCTTGTCTGCCTGTTCCTACCTCCGGGCAAAGGCCGCCGCTCACAGAGCGTCTCCTTCTCCCTGCCTCCCCTCAGGGACACCAAAGAGATGAAGAAAAGACTGGAGGCCAAGAGGCTGGAACGGATCCAAGCCATGACCAAAGTCACCACAGACAAGGTGGCCCAGGAGAGGTAAACGCTGAAGGGGAGGCCCAGCTGAGCGGGCCCTACTCCAGCTGGAAGAGGGTCTCCCCGCAAGGGATCCTAACTCGCCTCCCACAGCTCTTCCCGCTCTCTTGGCCCTAACCAGTTACTTGGTCCCACGGTTGTATCTCTCTCTCCGAGTCTTCCTTGAGCAAAACACAGTTGCCAAC